TAAAATACTAAAGTAGTGATCTAAACGTTATTATATTAGTTTACAGAGGGAGTACTACTACTTAAAAGAGAGTACTTTAGTCACCCGCAAAAAAAAAAGAGAGTACTTTAGCGAGCAAGCGAGCGACCGAGACATGGGTCCTTTCAAGCGGGAAAACAAAACACAAGGGAGCTTGCGACTGAGAGAATTGAACGAGTGTAGCGAGTGACCGAAACGAGCGGACATGCGAACGACTAGGTCGTGACCTGCGAGCGCTATGAGCACCCCGATTTTCGTATTTTGTTTTGTTCTTCCAGTGTTTGTATTACAGTTCTGCTCGGGGTTTCCCGTTTTCATTTTTCTTGTTCTTTATCATTTTTCTCTTCAGGTATCTTAGGTTTTGTTTGTTTTTTCTTCGGTTTTTACTGGGTTTTTATTTTATTTTCATTTTTTTGTTCAACATATATTAAACTTTTCCATCCAAATTATACTTTTTTGTATACAAAACATTTTTTATACACGTTTCACATATCTCAAATACATGATTATTATATTTTATAATATTGTTTTTCATGCCTTTTTTCATACATATTGTAATTTTCCATATACATCTAATCATTTTCTTAAACAAGTTTAACATTTTTAAATACATGATTAATAGGTCTGAATAATTATTTTGAACATTTTTTGAATACACGTTGAAACATGTTTCATAACCGTTGTACATTCTGTCTGCATTTTTGCAAAAACATATGTTTTAATGTCTTTTTTCATACATATTGTATATTTTTTATATATGTAAAATCTTTATAATATATATTAAAAAAATTAAATACATGATTTCACATTTTTCTTAATAGGTGGTACACATTTTTTTCAAATATAGATCCAAACAATTTTTGCATGATATGAAAGGTTTTTTGAAACTATTTTTACATTTTTTTCACATTGTAGAAGCAATTTCTTAAAAATATCAGACACATTTGGTTTGTAATGTATGAACATTTTTCTAAATGTAGTGTACATCTTTTTAATGGTACAATTTTTTTCTTTTGGAATTACACAAAGAGTTTGTTTAGATCATATAACATTTTCCCAAATGTCCATGCACATTTTTAAGATGTTCATACTTTATTTGGATGTTAGACACATTTTCTAAAAGACGCGTGGTCATTTTACACTACATTTACTATATTTACTTTCATGATATATATATATATATATATATATATATATATATATATGTTTTTTACTTTGAAAATATATATATATATAAAATGCATGACGAAAGCATGAGAAAACCATGTCGTAACTGGGCTTGACCACTAGGCTAGTTGCGGGCCATGCTTCGGGCGGCACATAGCCGGCAATCTGTATTTTGTACTCCCTCCGTCCCGAAAAGCTTGTCCCGCAAATGTATGTATCTAGCACCAAGTTAGTGCTAGATACATCTATTTGATGGACAAGTTTGGGACAAGTTTTTTCGGACAGAGGGAGCAGTACAATACCGCATTGGACAGGGAGCAAACGCAGACGTTGGTGCATGCTATTAGGCCAGCTCACTTACTAGGTTATTTTTTTCCTGGCATGAAATTAGTTTTTAGTTTCTTGAAGAAACTAGACTTGTTTGAAGTCGGTTTTACCTAAATATCGCTACTATAGCATTTCTTTTTAAATCAAGATTTCCAATAAATGTTGATAAATTCGAAAAAGTTTGCAAAATTCGAATATGCTCATGGGTTTAAAACATTGATTTCACGAACTCAATAATTGTTCACAAAGTTCAAAAAAAGGTTCATCGATTCAAAAACCGCCTGTTAAATTAAAAATTATCCCTAAATTGGGAAACATATTCATGAATTCAAAAAAATCATGAATTTTTTAAAAAATGTATAGACTTCAAAAAATATTTACCAATTACGAAAATATTTCCCTATATTCAAAAAGCGTTCATGGATTCTAAAATGTTCATAAATTTCAATTTTTCTTACGAATTCAGATATTTTCACCCTTTTTTAAAGTTTGATAATATTAAACAATTAATTTAGAAATTTTTCGAATTTTGGAACAAAAAATCCGGACCAAAAAATTAATGGAAAAGAAGAAAAAAATCTAAATCTAGAAAGAAAAGAAAGAACGAAAATGGAAAAAACAGAAAGGAAAAACATAGCATAAAATGGTGGGGGTTTGCGATACCTCGTCATTTCCTGACCTATGCGCTAAATAGGATCACCATTGGCTACCTCACGAACTGTGGTTCTCGTGGTGCAACCAGCCTATTAGAGTTAAGTCCTAAACTTGGCACTAATGCTCGTATTTTTTCTAAATTTATTCTAATCATTCAGGCGATGTTCATTTAGTGAGAGAAGACGTTCCCGTCGACTACGAAGGCGTCCTTAATGAGTTCATCAGTCTCAAGATATTGTTTCAGCTCAGTATGTGTATGTATGTGGGCATCTGCGTTTGTCCTGTGTTTCAAAAAGAATGAAAAAGAAATAGTCATTGCGACAAATTGATGGCATAGCTCCATTCGCGCTCCAATTGATTTTCATGCATGTGCAATTTATTTGGTTTAACATTAGATGGTCGTTGTGGTGTCTCATCGTTGCCGACATGGTCTGTAGCGTGTTGGATTTTGGGTATGGTCACTTTTAGGATGCTTTCGATGATACTTTACTTCTTTCTTCATATTTTACCATTTACAGTAGTGTCGTCCTTGCGAGATGGTTTTTCTCGGCAGTGTTTGTGCACAAAGGTGAAAAAAGAGAGGAAAGAACTGCGCGCGACCGCTTGTGGTAAGTTTTGAAAGTGCCTAAGATTTAATTAATCGCTATTAAAGGCCATTTAGGTAAAATTATATGTACACAGATTCTTCCAGCTTTGCATTGATATTTTTGTCTATGTTTGGCTGGCTGAGTGCACTGTATCTTACTGTTTGGCTGAAATTGTATACCCACATGATAGCTGAACACCTTAACCTTATAGGTTTTTTTTTGCGGGGTACCTTACATTGTCACTGTACTAAAAAAACTTACGTTGTCACTCTTTTTGTTTAATTTGAATAAAAATGGAGCTGGGCCTCCACCCCTATTTGTGATGCTGACTCTCCATGATCTCGACCTGACAAGAAAAAGAGAGAGACCATAATTCCTAGAGTGACACTGCCAACGGTAGAGATACGACAAATCGAGAAAGCATAGATATTTCCAACGGAGTAATCCAGGGTTCCTCTGGATATGGCAATGTGTCCCTCCGCTGAGTTCCTTGTCCAACCCCACCGCACCACGACCTCGTCGCCCCCGCCCCACCCCCTCCGTCCTGCCCTTGCAGCACAAAACTCCCTCCCTCTATGCAAGGCATACTCAAAGTTTCGCGGTCTTCAATGTACAACTTCGAATGACAATATGTACTTCTGCAGAGGTATTTTGTGTTGTAAAATATTTTTCCCTCTATGTACTTGTTTGTAGATGTAGTACATGCGAAAATCATAGTCAAAATTGAACATGGCGATCACCGTGAAATGTCACTTGCGATTCTGGGAAAAGGAGCAGTAAATAATCAGTTAATTGCATATTCTATTTATTTTAAACACAATACAACCACAGATACTCACATACACTTATCCGTATGAGCATACGTACACACATCATATCTGTATGAACACCTTTGAGATACTGAACCGACATAACATCTTGAGATTGACGAAAGTCACCATAGCCGCTTAGTAGTCGACGAAAAGATCTCCTTCCACTAAATAAACATCGTTGAACTTGAAAAGTCTAGAATAACTCAAAAAAAGAAAAAACCGAATACCAGAGCCAAGTTTAGAGAACTTAAACGTACGTTCAGCTCGGAGTAGTTTTATTTTCTAGTACATGCACGCCGTGACCAAAGGATTCTGCCCCTGTACACATCGGCAAGGACTGGTTAAACATGCAGCTAGCTATGACCCACATGTCATGCCGGCACATACGCAGCATAAAATCACATGTAAAAATAAAATACGCTATTGTCATACTCTCAACTTTATACTAAAACTGTTTTGAGCTAAAACCACGACGAGTAATTTGAAATGAAAAGAGTACTTAGGAAGGGAGTGTATAATTGAGAGGGACGGAGAGATTAGAGCACGTTTGGTTTCAATAAGTCACCTGACTTATAAGTCAGGTGACTTAAAAACAGTGACTTATAAGTCATGTCTGTTTGGTTGTCACCTGACTTATAAGTCACCTGACCACACATTCCTACCTTATAAGTCATGTCTGTTTGGTTGTCACCTGATTTCTAAGACTGGTCACAATGGGGAGGAACTTAGAAGTAACATCACACACTCCAATACAACTTTGCTTACGTGGCACATATTTAATGAAGAGAGAGGTGCTTGTGGTAACTACTCCCTCCGTCCGGGTGTATAAGTCATTCGCGTAGTTCTAGGTCATCAATTTAAGGAATTAAATATGTGTTATATGTCATGAAAACTATACCACTAGATTTCCACACGGATGTAGTTTTTAAATATATATTTTTTGTCACATATAATACATATTTAGATAGTTAAATTATCGACCTAGAACTACGCGAATGACTTATACACCGGGACGGAGGTAGTAGCTAAGTTACCGGAACATCACACACTCCAAGAAACAATGAGTCTATAACCTAATAAATACATCTTTGCATGACACTACATAGATGTTCCTACCCACTATGGAGGTAGTAACATAGTCTAGGAAAATGTGTAAGTTACTAGCTTATGTTCTTGCCCATTGTGACCAGCCTGACCAACCTCAACCTCAACCTGACGCCTTGCTTTAGCTGACGCCGTTATCCGGTTAGCCCAACCCAACCCCTGGATATTAATTAGCTGACGAGAGCAACAACGCCTGTGTCCAAAACGGAAACGAGTGACCACGACTGGGCCCTCCATTGCTTAGCTGACGCTGTTATCCGGCCATTATCAATCAGTCCACCCCCCGCCATCCCACCGGCCGGATCATCGGCGGCGGCGATAGGCGTCCGTGATGGTGGTGGTGATGGAGAAGGAGATGGAGATGGAGCGCAGGGCGTACGCGCGCGTGGGCCTCCTCGGCAACCCGAGCGACGTGTACGGCGGCCGCGCCGTCTCCTTCGCCGTCGCGGGGCTCTGGGCCACCGTCCGCCTCCGCGCCTCCGACGACCTCCTCGTCCAGCCCCACCCGCGCCACGACCTCGTCGCCTTCCCCTCCCTCCACGCCCTCGTAAGCGCCAATCTCTGTTCTTCCAGATTAATCGGCGTCAGTTTTTCCAGATCGACCAATCTCTCTATAAATTCCAACCGATCCTTCTGCAGGTGGAGCGCCTGGACGGCGGCGGCTACTACGGCGGCGTGCGGCTGCTGCTGGCGATCTGCAGGGTCTTCCACGACCACTGCAAGCACAGCGGGATCGCCCTGGAGGACAAGAACTTCGCCCTCTCGTACGACACCAACATTCCCCGCCAGGTCCCACCCCCATCCTCCCTCAGATCCGTCCGTACTTTCGTCATGCCGGGGAGGTCCCCCACACCCTCCCTCCCTCAGATCCCCCAAAGATTTACGCTTTTCCAACGCTGGCCGTTGAGAGTTGGTTTGTTGTCTCCTCTGCTGCCAACAGGCCGGGCTCTCCGGCTCCAGCGCCATCGTCTGCGCCGCGCTGAGCTGCCTCCTGGATTTCTACGGCGTCAGGGACAGGATCGGGGTCGAGGTCCGGCCCAGCCTCATCCTCAACGCCGAGAAGGAGCTCGGCATCGTCGCCGGGCTCCAGGACCGCGTCGCGCAGGTCTACGGCGGCCTTGTCTACATGGTATAATGCGTGGCAGCCATATATATGCAACCATGTTCACCTTCACCTGTTGCTCTGTTTTGCTGAATCTTTTGATTTTGTGTTTTGCTTCTCAGGATTTTAGCCAGGAGCATATGGATAAGCTGGGTCATGGAGTGTACACGCCGCTGGACGTTGATCTGCTCCCCCCTCTGTATCTCATCTACGCCGAGAACCCGAGTGACTCGGGCAAGGTTTGTTCAAGCTGAGTTTAAATCACATCGTTTTTTCTTGCTTGAACAGTCTTGCTGATTTCTGCATTTGAACCTTGTCTGACTGATTAGGTCCACAGCAGCGTCAGGCAAAGGTGGCTCGACGGCGACGAGTTCGTAATATCATCCATGAAAGAAGTCGCGCATCTCGCGTATGATGGCCACAATGCGTTGTTGCAGAAGAATTATGCCGAGCTCGCGAGGCTTATGAACAGGAACTTTGATCTGCGGAGGTGAGACCGATGCCGACGAGGCTTAGAGAACAGAATTTAGCCGACGTGTGTATGAAATTTATCTGTGCAGCAGTAGAAGCTATTCCAGTTAACTAGTCGTGCACAATTGGTCGCAGGAAAATGTTTGGAGACGACGCGCTCGGTGAGTTGAACATAAAGATGGTTGAGGTAGCGAGGAGCGTCGGCGCCGCGTCGAAGTTCACGGGCAGTGGGGGCGCGGTGGTGGCCCTCTGCCCAGACGGTGATGCGCAGGTGGAGCTCCTGAAGACGGCGTGCCAGGAGGCTGGTTTCGTGGTGGAGCAGATTGAAGTCGCCCCGTCGGCACTGACAAAGGAGGAGCTGGCAAACTTATCAAGTCATCAGTAGCCAAAAGGATCTCATATATTCAAATATACGCCCTCCGTCCCGAATTAGTTGTCTTAGATTTGTTTAGATACAAATGTATCCGGACACAACTAATTTGGGACGGGGTAATAGACAAGAGCATAGCAAGCATGCAATTTGCTGTCACCACAGGAGTCCATTTTTTTCTTATTTGTTCGAGTCATCACAGGATCACATGAGTTTTTCATGTTGTTTCATCATACTTTTGTGTGTGTGGTGTAAGTGGAACACTGATGTATCATCATGCTGATGCATGCAAAATAAAAGGTTGCTTTTCTTACCGATGATCTCATTGTCAGTTGGTCAGAACCAATCAATCTTGTTCCTCCATTGCTGGAGGTGGATGCCCTCCAGCTTCAGCTCAGCTCAGCTCTGCTTACGGTCCCCGGTGGCTCCACGCTGGCCAGCGCCAGGGACAAACCGGGCCTCTCTCAACGCGACCCTTGAGGCCCGGCCCACGCGAACAGCCCAGCCCACGAGTCGCTGGCACGGAGACCCCCAAGCACAAACCCAAGCCCACCACGCTAGTCCCACTCCAGCATCTTCCCACGCTCGCACAAACCGCGCCGCCGCCCGCCACCGGACGCCATCTCCCCCACCTCCACGCAGCGGCCGCCGGACGGAGGAGCCAGCAGCTAGAAGCTTGGATGGCGGGAGAAGACGCGGCGGCATGCGCGCCCCAGGTTGACGGGCACGCGCCGCGGGACGCCGCCTCGTTCGACGAGGAGACGCGGGCCCTCATCGCGCCCGACGCCGGGAGCCTCCCGGCGGCCCCGCCCTCCGCCGTCGAGGCCAACTTCGCGCGCTACTTCGTCGCCGGTAAAAAGAAAGACTCCAGCTTTGCTGCTCCTGTAAATGATGTACATGGAAGATTCTGAGCTTAGAGCTCTGTTCTATTGGCAGCGTTTGATTTCTGGAGTGGAAGGAGTATTAGATTCTCACTTCTCAAGTGGAGCTTGCTTCCTTTCTTTGGCGCCGGAAGCTCTAATCTTTCTGTAGTGCTTAGAATTGATTGTTTGTGCATATGTTGAACTGGTTACATGGTTTACAAAGTTGTTGTGAGAGTATCAGCTACTAAATTTTTTAATCAAAGAATTTATCCATCCCCACCTGAATAATGCCTTTTTTTCTTTCTTGAAAAATATCTAAAGAAAATTGGAACGTATTTTGTGTCTATGTGTGTGCAACTCTGCACTGTGGTGCTGTAATTTTGGTTAACAAATTATTGCAATGGCCTATTGTCAAATGTAACCAAAATGGTTAAACTTAAATCGTGAACTCTTACTTTCAGTCGTCTAACCCATCTCTTCTCGTTTTCTTGGCAGATTATCTCAACCCAGGACATGACCAGTTTGTGTACCGACATCCAAACGGGTAGGCTTATTTTATTTTTATTTTATTGAGAACTTAAACAGGTCAAAATTGGCTTTCTCATGATTAGCGACAATAAATGGTCTTCCGGTGAATTTTGCATATTCACTAGTTCTATCTGAAGCTGGGTTATTTCTAGGCAGTGGAAAAAAGTTGCTCAATGTATGCACAGATAATATCAATGTAGTGATCTTTGCCTTCGGACAGATGCGTTGTTTAATGTCGCTTACTTATTTTTAATGCAACTCTAGTCGACACATGCCAATACTTCTTTTTTTTGCTTAGCGACATGACATTGGTGATTAGGAAGGAAATTTATTCTCTTTGGTTTCTTATGTTCCTTAAACTTTAGGTTGTGCGTGGTTGGTTTAGCTCCAGCCCATGTTGCACTGAAAGAGGAAGGGGGGATAACTGCTATTGACTTCAATGTTGGGAAGACAGATCGCAGTGAGATAAAAGTCACAGGGAAACGCAAAAGGGTAATTTGAGTTGACGTGTGTTCTCTGTTTAATTGATTAATTAGCAGAATCATTTGATGTCTGCTTCCTATTACAGAATGCACAACATTTGCAAGAAAATTCAGCATTATGTAAAGTCTGCACAAAGGATAAAACTTTTGTGGTGAGGTTGGTCCGCTAGGTCTCGCAATTGATTATGCCTGACGTCATTGTATTCTTACACTGAAGTGTTGTCTACGTCCAATTTCCATAGGTGTTGCGTGAAAGGGCAGCTTTTGGAGATTAATGATAGATTGATGAAACAACCCGATCTGCTTAATACCTCTGTAAGTACCTCTATCAGAAGGACACTTTTGATGCTTTGCTATTAGTGTGGCTTGTCGTTGTCGGTGGCATATCGTAGCAATGGTGACGCCTACATGCATAAATTGAACCACCTATATTTTTCTAGTTGGTTGGTACCGCTACCGATTGTCTCTTACTGAAGATAGTTTTCTGGTCCAGCCTTTATGATCCATGCGTATCGGAGAGATGTTTAAGTTAGTTTTTGTTTGTAAACTCACTGTCGGTGTTGTTCCCAAGTGAGTACTGAATAGCACCGAAACATGAGTGCAACCTCGAGAGGAATATCTTGTCGAATTTCAGTTTAACATGGATAAGCTTGCACTTTTGTAATATATATTATTCCATTACCTCTGTTGAAGTATTTCATGTTTTGTCCAGAAGTGCCTGATGAAACCTTGCCTGTGAAGAGACAAGAGAGTCTGTGGATTCAAACAACATTTTGATTGTGCACATTTGTTTGCTTGAATATTTCATTAGTTAAGGAGAAATTTGATTTAGAACGTAAGATGCAAAAGGCCTACTCTCCCGCAATGATTTAACCCAAATGCTTCACCCACCCAATCCCTCAAATTTCCACTCCTTCCTTGACTTCTGCGACAATCGTTACCATATTCTGACCAGTACATGGTTTTTCCTTTTCATTTGTAGGCCGACAGAGAAGGATACATAGCAATCTTCATGCAGAAACCAGCTGACTGGCTCAAAGTGAAGGATAAATTTCTTAGCTTTGAGGAGTACAAGAACTTGAGAGGAATCTGCTGACACCAAAAGGTAGTCAGTGATAATTTTACACCCTTTTGCTTTCCAAGACAGCGATGAACTTGGACGAGCGTGTTTCCGGAATTTGAGTTGATGCATGCTTATCAATTTCATTGAAATGCTCATAACAAACCCTATTTTCTTGCATCGTTTTTTGTCGCACGTGCATGCACATCTGATTCGTTTTTTTATCTCTGCAGAAGGAATTCATGCTGGCCAATTGTGTATTCATCGTTCAATTCAGAGCCGGAGCTCAGGTCTCTTGGCCTGATCCTCGCACACAGATGCCATTCTTTTTTTAGAATCGGAGAGCCAGCTCGAGATAACTGCATCTTTACCAGCATGATATTGAAGCTGAGCCTGTTGGCTTTTCTGACAATTTAGTGGACGCATTATTCTGATAGTTTCAAACTTAATAGTCTACCGAACTGCAGAACAAGCTTTGGAATTGAAATCATTTGAAGTTCATAGAGAGCTTATGTGCTTGACTCCGTGACTGTATAGCTTGATGGTCTCCCCACACACAATGCTTGCGAAATGAATGTGTTAGTTTGATACAAACATTGTATGAGGTTCGCTTAATTTCTTCTGTCGGGAGTTCGGAGGCAGAACAGTTCATTCATTTGTAATTCTACCTGGTTTCCGACTTCCTTTCTTCTCCCCTCCTGCTCTCCTTAATTGTTTGTTCTACATATGCTATGAAATCACAATACTTCCAGAGATAACTACCAACACATTTTCTATCGTCTATTGAAACAAAAGCTCCTCCAGATTTAAGCATACAGGGTTCACATTAGATTATTGTACTATTCAAGAGGAACAACTCCAAAACACATGGATGAAGGTGGATTCATGAATTTAAACAAGGCAATGCTTCAACCAATGAATGTACAAGCAACACACATTTGTGATTATGATCAGTTGGGCCTACAGAAAGATTGTGTTTTTGCTTGCCAAAGCTATTGCTTGGTTCAATTAATGACGAAACCCGAAAAAACGAGAATGTTTCCCTAAAAATAAACAAATCCTTTCAGACTAAATTCCTTGTGGATGATTTCATGAGCTTCTTGAGTTACCTAATGTACAGTCATGTGCAGTGAAGGCCCAAACAACCCATTGCCAGGTCCTTGTTGTTGTCTGTGCTGTCATAAAACTCCTGTAAGGCTCTTTTTTTTTTTTTTGAAACGGAGGCATAAGCTTTGCCTCATCCATTAATTAAGAAGGAGAATAGAGTTTGTTTGTTACACCACACATATTACATGAGGTCCATTACTCTCCCGGCATTATGCTACCCAATTTGTGTGCACCCGCAGTAACCCAAAGTCTAGCTTCTCTTTTGATGGTGTCGAAGATGACCGGCGCAGGTGTTGACTTGTGCCTGAATATACGAGCGTTTCTCTCATTCCAAATGGTCCACCCAACTAGCATAGTGAGGGATGCCATGGCCTTTCTATTGGGGATGTTGCTTCCAGACATGTTTCTCCACCAAAGCGAGAGAGAGTGCAAATTGTCCCAAGTTGACATGTCAATCATATGGAGACCAAGCCAATTTTTGATGAGGTTCCAAATCCTAAGGGTGAAGCGACACTTGTAGAAAAGATGGGCTCCATTTTCTTGCACACGCTGGCAAAGCGGACACAGTCCACAATTTTGCCAACCCCTCCTAGCGAGTCTGTCAGCCGTCCAAATCATATTACGGGTTGCAAGCCAAGCAAAGAATTTCACCTTCGGCGGAGCCCAAGCGCCCCAAATGTAGCAGTGGAAGGTGGTGCCCATAGATCCAATGAATTGTAACTCCTGTAAGGCTGGAACACATGAAGAAAAAGAGCCATCCTGAACACCAGATGCAGCATTATTTTTATCAGATCAATAACATGAAGTTAATATGCCCTCATTACCTGAAGATCATTTTGGTTTTTCCTTCTCAAGTGTGATCTCCACTAGCTGAATATTTCCCTGTAGTGATTCAGCCTTGCACGAGGGAAGGAAAGAGAAACCATCCAGAAGCTTCAAACATTTCAAACCCCACTTCACCATCAAAAATTCAATCAAGTGATGACCACTGCGCAAAAGAATCGAGCCAATATATTAGGGCAGTAGCTCCCAGGAATTTTATCAAGTGGAGAAGGCTGAAGAATTTCTTGGAACCTGCGATTGTGGTATGTGGTGATGAACACTGCCCCAGGAGAATTTTCCAGGAGGAAGGTAACCGTCGCAAAGAGATCGTCAAATTCTAACCAAAATAGATGCAGCGGTATGTTACTTACGTAGCTCAGACAAAGCGACAAGAATGCAAGTCAATCAGAGTAGATGAGTAGCTTACTTGCTGAATCATAAAGCACATCGGCTCCGAGAATAATATCAGGGTGCAAATCAAACACAGGTTCATCCCAATCTCCCCAAGTAAGTCCCAATACCTGCATGGTTAAGTATGAGTTACTACTTGCACAAAGTAGAGCTGCTTTCGAAGGATGCAACCTGTAACAAATAATAACTTCAGATCAAAGCTTACCGTGCAGTTGGCGTTATTGAGACTGCATATTTGCCGTATATTGTCCAGTACCTGCTCATTGCCAACGAAAGCGGAAAGCTATAAGCATTGAGTCATCAATAAGTACTATTGAAAACTAAAAGAAGGTTTAGCCGGGATGGGGTTGAGCTAACTTCTGCATTATGTGCAATGTCTGTCAGCGTAACATCTGCTCCAACTTTTGCAGCTACTAAACCCGGTAGCGAGGTTCCCGCACCAAGCTGTAAGCCATAGACACGAATCAGAAAAGCATAAAAATAATCAATAAATCCTTTTATTGCGGAACAAAAAATGAAAAATAAGAACGACACTTGCAATGCCGAGAAATTTCAAGTTGCAGAATGGAAAAATAGCTGTTCCATCCAAACAAACAAAAAAACTCACGACAAAGGAATGTGAATTGCACCGACACAGAGAATAAGGACCTTTTCAAAGCTCAAGCATGGAGAAGTACCCTATGTTAAGCACTGGAACTTGTTCTGTAGAGAATCTGAAGGATGATTAGTACCTCGACAACTCTGGAGCGGGAGAAGCGCGGCCTCTGCTGCCACACGTATTCCGCGAGGATGACGCTGCATGGCCAGACGAACATCCCGTAATCCTCCTCTATGTTCTGCACACCGGTTGATAAGCATGCAGTTTGTCAAGGCAGTCAAATTGAAGAAAGATAGCATTATCGCTGGAAGACATCCGTGCACCAGTCCTGGTGGCAGACGCATTTCGCCGAACGGCTGAGCTGCATCCACGAGCTGAGACGGACGAACCTCGACGATGTCGACGCGGAGGTCGTGGTCGCTCTCGGCAGAGGCGCCGCCGAAGTAGTGGCGCGAGACCGTGGTCATGCGCGGCGGCGGAGCGCGCCCGGGCTCCTCCTCCGCCTCCGACGAGGACGCAGAAGCGGAAGCAGAGTCCATTGCGTTGCGGAAGTCGGGAAAACGCAGGCCAGGCCGGGAAATATATGTAGTGCGTATGCTATCGAAGTAATGAAAGGTGTGAGGTGCTACATCAACACAACGGGGATGTAGCTCAGATGGTAGAGCGCTCGCTTAGCATGCGAGAGGTATGGGGATCGATACCCCACTTCTCCAACTTCTTTTTTCACTCCGGTTGTGGGGAGGCGAAGGTGTTTTTTTTATGGATGAGGTGTTAAGTTAGTTACAACTTACAAAGCACATTTCTGTTAAAACATAATTTTAGCAGAGCTCAAAAGGTATCAGTAGCTCAGTTAGTATGTACAAACGATAAAGCAGGCAACATCAATTTGATATAAATAAATGTCTTGTTTTTATATAAACACAATAAAATGCCGATGATAGCATGCATCACACATCCTTTTCCTTATAAGCACTCCAACTTCTTTTTTCACTCTGGTTGTGGGGAGGCGAAGGTGTTTTTTTTATGGATGAGGTGTTAAGTTAGTTACAACTTACAAAGCACATTTCTGTTAAAACATAATTTTAGCAGAGCTCAAAAGGTATCAGTAGCTCAGTCAGTATGTACAAACGATAAGGCAGGCAACACCAATTTGATATAAATAAATGTCCTGTTTTTATATAAACACAATAAAACGCCGATGATAGCATGCATCACACATCCTTTTCCTTATAAGCACTGTCAAGAAACTGGAGGATCTTTATGCAAGCAGAAGTAAGGAATCGCTTCATCTCGCTCCCATGCCGTTTCCTCCGGAGACCCGAGGGCTCCAAACCCTAGTCGCGGTTGGGCTCTTACTTCATCACCCTTGCCATCACTATCGCCGGCCTCGTCTGCGGTGCTAGTGGGCCTCATTCCCAAAGGGGACAGGCCCCCGTGGTAGGGGGGCTCGGAACCTAGGGTGGTGACCTTGGGACGGTTGTGGTGTCGCGACTTACTCTGGCATGGGGGTGGGGTGTTGTGAGCGGGCGACGGACTGTTGGCTTGCTGGAGGTGGAGGCAACGCAATGGGTGGAGGTTTTGTCATGGGCGTGCGTGGCTCCTTATTGTTGCGTGCTCCGGCGTTTGTGGATTTTGCCACCTTCGTCCAAATCCAGCTTTCGACCATACTTTTCGGTGCCCACTGCTATGATATGTATCTAGTGGTGTGCAGGGTTAGATTGTTGGGGTGGCAAAAATGTTGATATGTGTGATTTTGGGCGGCGCAATCGATGGTGATGTGTGGCATCCCAGGCAAAAGCTCTATTCTAGCTCTTCGCCGGAACTAACGATTGTGAAACCTTCTAGTGTCGCTTACCTCCATGGTGGCATCGTTTGATAGAGCTATGTCACTTCGTCCTGGTTTGTGAATCTCCGGGGAAGAAACCACAGATCCATATGAATACGTCGATGGCAACGCTTTGTGCGCCGCTCCCCTCCTTGGGGGCATCGACTTGGAGCCTCTCTGCTTGGCGTCATCTAGGAACGAGTTGTTCAGTTGTGGTGGTGTGGGTGTTCTGCCTCTTATCTATTGATATCGTCTCCTAGCGTGGCCCGAAGGTGCTAGAGTTTGCCTTGTGCAATCACGGTGGTGGGTGTGTAGAGCAAAGCAATTCGGGTGTGGACTCCACTCCATGATGGCCATCAATTTTGTTGGTGGGTATCATTGTTGTGTTGTAACCTCGACTGTATGTGGCCCTTCATCCAGGTGTGCATCCGGTTGCTTGTTGCCTTTCAACTGTGTGTGGTCAGATTGTTTGGTCTTGGGTGATTGGAGCCCTTCTTCTACGGTGGTGGTGTTTATGGTGCAACTTCCCGTTGGTGAGGACGTTGTAAGAAGATGGCCCTCCATTTTTTTCTTCCTTTCGATGCTTGCCCTGTTGTTGTCTCAACACATCTTCTCCTTTTCTATCTTACAACCGTCGTTATTTGTTATTTTCTTCCTTTTATTCCTTGCAATTTCACGGTTGCATCAATTTCTACGCTTAACGAATGAAATCCAACGCGGATATAGTTCGTGAAGAAAAAGAAGAATCTGAACGGGTAATTCTTGGTATTGACAAAGTCACCACAGAGCTGAAAGAACATTGCCAGAAGATCACAATTATATTCGAAACAATGTGAGCACATGTGCCAAGTCTAAAAATTAAACCCATAATAGATTAGTTTCATCACAATGAATCTAACCATCTGGGTTACGTTCAGTTCACATAAGGGTATTGGTTAGTTGGATTGGTTTGAGCTGATTAAAAAGGTGAAAGTCCCTATTATTCGTTTTATGCAAGCTACATATCCAACAGGAAAAAATCGAGTGCATGACAATATACTTGATAGTGTCTTAAATTTAATGTGTGTACGTGTGTCATGCGACGCTAGTTTGCTTCTATGTACATATCATTTGTTGCCATATGTGGAAATCATAGTTTTGCCATCGGTCCATGGATTCGGTTTTGGTTGAAATAATTTCAGCTAACACCAATAGAAACCACCTGTGTTGATTTTATTTGAAAACTAACTCAAAAAATATGTCAATCGATTTTTTCAGTGAACCGACTCAAGAATTCTTTTTTATTATACACATTATCCATAGAGAAATAGCCTGCCCTAGTTGCTTAAGCGCTTCCCTCTATCCACCACTTAGGATAATGCCAACTTGAAAACATCCAACTTCAAGGAAACGTATCTCCCTCATAGTTCAAATGCTAGTCCCACTCCCTCATTCTCTCCCCAGCACCTCCACTACGAAGATCATGTGCCTACTATTGACATTTAGCCCTGCGACTCCCAAGCCAGTGAGACGTTCTAAACGTATATACTTTTTTGAACATTTTTGTTAGGCTTTCCCTATAGACTTTCTAAATTGAATGAAAACTAATGGGACAGATGATGTCTTCAGGAGAATTGCAAAATGGCATTTGTTATTGTGCAGATATAAAAGTATAGGGAAAATCCAACAAAAATACTTTCTTGCAAGTCATCGAAAGGGAAGGCTACCCGCAAGAGGTGGACCCCTAAGGAGGCCCATGGGACCCACACACCTCTGCTACATGTCCAAGGAGGGGGTCATGTGTGTGACCCATGTGGGGCCTGTAGGGTTCCCCTCTGCCTCTCCTTCCGACTATAAGTCACCATCAACCATTGCTTCAAGTATTTACAACTCACCATATATATTTGTGTGAAACTAAGAGTCACTGCCATTGCTATTCTTTGTCGTGAGAGGCCGTTTGGAGGGACCTCTAGAGTGTGTGATTCTTCGCCTCAACTCCATCAACCCCCTTTTAATCGTCTCCAACATGTTTTCTCCATCCATGTATAAATAATTCCCTGTAGGCACATGAGATGTGTGGAAATTGGATTATGCCAATCATGTAATAGTGCTAAGATCTGTAGGGTTTTGGTCCATGATATGATGATTGTTCTTGAGTTCATGTTGCAATGACTTTGTTATGCTCAATGCATATTAGTATGGTATGATCAGTATGATCTCACATGAATCCTATATGTTATCATGATTTTTATATGTTTGAGTTATTCATGGAAGTTGTATGCACATGTTATAGTCTCAACCGGCGATCCCTGAAGGTGACATGACGGGATATCAATGGGGGCCTTTAATTTGAGGAGCTCGTGGATTCATAAAGTGTTAATGCATTGGCCTGATTGTTTGTAAAAAGAACACCTTAATTACCCTTAGTTTCAACTGTGACCCCAATGACATGGGAGGATAGTACATATATTGTTGGGCAAGTTCTTAGAAATAAGCACATTCAACTACATACGGAATACATGCCTACAAAAAGTGACAGAACATGAGATAGGAACCATAGTTTATCGTTTCTACTATGTTATATATTGATGTGATTCATGCCACAACCCCATATTCATCCCCATGCCTATGTTTTCCATAACTGTTTGCTCTATTTAAGATACTTGATACTTGTCAACCGCTAGGTATTCATTGCTTTCATTTAGTTTTCTAAAGCACACAACCAAATCACCTCCAATAATATGAGTATTAGCTCCAACTAGTAGAGTCAAAAAGTTCAAATTGCCTAAAGGATGTGTTGTAGAACTACCTCTAAAGCCCTAATTTGTACCAGTATATATGCCAGTTAGAACATGAATGTCATTTATTTTGTGGAATGACCAAATTCCATATATTAAGTATCACATACCCTTACAAAACACCCTTACATAAATTGTAAAATACATCCAAGTTTCTAAGGGTGCTGAAGTATCTTTCTCATTCATCCACCAGCGAGGCACTGTGAGCAAAGCTCGTTGCCGCCTCTTGCTCACCGTATCAGCGGAGAAAACTTGTTGAACCCTAGGAGCTTGTAGATTCAATGGTTGGGAAGTCGTCAATGTAGACGAGAAGAAGCTGGCGGTCGCGATCTGCATAGTAGATTGTCGTTCTTGATAATGAAAGGTAAGAAGAGCCTGTAGAACACCCCAGATCTGACCAAAAGTATTCGAGGAACATAAATTTCATCCCCCCTGTGATTTGTTATAGTTGATTGGCAGTATGTGTCAAAGGTTCACATGCTTTTCTTTTTCCATGATTCTATCATTTACATAACAACGAGTTTGGTTGGAAGTATTTAGAAATAGGGAATAAGAACTGAAGGGATAAGGGATTTTAAATTCGCCCCACGATTAGGGGAAACTAGGAATCAAGGAGAGATTATGCATGGGAGTTGAGAGACCAATTTCATAATTTTAATAACATGTCGGGGGAAGGGATGAAAATTGATGATAGTTGTTTTAGTTACATCTTGACGCTTCATCATGATTTGTGTTATCATATTTTTGAAAAGATTTTGCTAATTCTTGCTAACTCTAATTATCTCAACATGTAGTTAAGCCATCTCAACATGTCACCATGCTTACGTCCTTTATACATCATACATGCTGCTCATATTCAGTACCACTAATTCTAATTCTCTCAATATGCATATGTGTCAATTCACAATACCATCATGTTGGAAATATGCCTTAGAGG